CCTGGTTCGTACTGATTTTAAAAATTCTGATTTTGATTATTGCGACTAAGATCTTGTTGCTTATTATTATTTTACTTACTATTTTGGGAGCTTCTGTTATAATTTTGACCTCTGCCCCAATATCCTTGATTATTCCCAGGATGACAATTAGCATTCCTTTAAATACAATGACCATTAGATTCTCGTTATCATATCGTCGAAAATTATTTTGAAAATAATTAGAGTTCCTCGACTGATTCTCAAAATTCTGATCGTTCCCCTATTTCCGATAATTTCTGGGGTATATCTGTCTATTGCTATATTGTTGATATTGTCTATTATATATACGGAACTTTTTTTCCACTAAATATGGGAATGCATTTTATTGCATGTTGATACGAGAAAAAGTTTTAGAAAAAATTCTTACAGTTTCATCATTGAAAAAGGGAATTAATATGATATTAATTAGAATAAAATAAAAAATTCATTTATTTACTCAAGTCGTCACTTACCAAAAACAAAAAAAAATTAAATTTTGAATTTCTGAAAACGATTTTACAAAATAAATAAACTCAAATATCTTAGCTATTTTATAATGTATTTAATTGAAATAAATTACATTAGTTTTGGTATAAAATACACAAACTTTGAAAAAAGCATTTAAAAATTTTGTTGATAGATAAAGTTATTTATATTTAATGGTTTTTTCACACACAGCAAAATTGGCAAATATTTTGAACTAAAAGTTTGACTTCAATTCTTTGTTGTATATGTTGTATGTATATTTAAAAGTGCAAACTTCATTTTTATTCTACAAACAGGTATCTGAAAGCATTTATATGTGAAAGGTTAAAGCATAGTCAAAAAAATAATATGGGGGTAAAGTCTTAGCTGAACATTTATTATAAGTGGTTGAACATGTTATATTAAAAAATGGAAAATTATTATGATAGAAAACAGTAAACAATTGTTATAAAACTTAAAGACGTTACACCAACTAAAACGGAAGTGGTTTACTGGAAGTCACTTCCTCTTAAGTTTCCCCCCTTACCCCGTCGCCCTCACCATCAGTCCCACACACTTCCTATCACCCTATGTCTTCCAACTGTGCTGTTCTATCCTCCTGCACACCTTTGCCCACCATTCCCCTTCACACTCCCAAGCGATTGATTTTTTAACAAATTTTAATTTTCTTTTCCCACAATCATTTTTCACTTTAAATTTTTTTTCTTCTGCAATTCTTTCTAATAAGGAGATTTGAACCCTCGACCTCCTGCTTACGAGTCAAGGCACCTTACCCACTCTGCTGCGAGCGCTGCCGTTTATGGAAATTCGATTTCTTGTACTTATGGTGTGTTTCGTAACTTATTTTTCAATTTCATATGCATTCACTGATTATACATTCAATTAATATTAAATTATTAATATATGTATTACTATATATATACTTAATCGAGATGCAGATGATTCCTGTGGTTGCATAAATATTTTCGTTCCAGTCCTTTGAGCAATCACACTATGAACTTACTTTGGACGTTCCTTGCTTGTTTTTGAACCAAAGGGTCGTCCAGGGCCTGTGGTCAATTTAGGTACATTTGCTCCTAATTTGGTCATGCTTCTAGGTTTTGTTACTTCCACTGCCTCCTTCAAGGTTGTTGGCAATGCTTAAGGTTTGATAGTCATTAAATTGGATGTTCTTACTATTCCTTTTCTCTGACTTAGTAGTTCTGTTCTACTCTTTCCCTCTATTTTCTTCCAACCCATCATCATAACTCCTAATAATGATAATTTGTTATTTATATTGTTTTCCGCATACAGAAATGGTCCTACTGGGTTTCTAGATAATGCATCAGCATTGGTATTGAGTTTTCCTGGCTTGTATTTGAAAGTGTATTCATAATTGGTGTATTCATCGTCCAGCGGATTAAATGCTGCCTTGGATTTTTTCTTATATGCATTCAATTCAATGGCTTATGATCAGCTACAAGAACGAATTTATTTCCTTACAAGTACGAAGGCAAATGATGCATTGCGTATAGTGCAGCTAAGCATTTCTTTTCAGTCGTGGAACAATTTATGTCGGCTTTATTTAGAGTTCTCAAAAGATAGGTAACAGGATGGTCAAACTCGTTTTTTTCTTGACTTAATATCGCTCCAATAAAGTAATAAGATACATCTGTTGTTTAGTTGAATGATTTACCTAAGTCGGAAAATTGTAAAATAGGCTCTTGACATAGATGGTCTTTTAGTATTTAAAAACTCTTTGCTTGCACTTCGGTTTGTTCAAATTTTTTTCATTTTTTTAATTAACCTGATAATGGCTTAGCTATTTTCAAAAATTTTTAATAAAACGTCTATATTAATCAGCTAGTCCTTAGAATTGTTTCACATTTTTTATAGTTTGGAGTTGAGAAAATTTGTTATCGTCTTGTATCTTTTTAGGGTCTGGTTTAATTCCTTGTTGACTTATTATATGCCTAAGAAATATTACTCCTTTTCGCAAAAATTCAACGTTATTTGGCTAGAGTACCATATTCGCTGATCTTAACCGGTCGAAAAGTAACCTAACTTAGCAGTCCTGACCTACTAGATCTCTTGCTTAAATAATAATATCATCTAGATACAGTAACATTTCAACAATAAATATACTTCTTAATATGAGATTCATTAGTCATTGGAACGTAGCAGGTACGTTTTTTAAGCTTTCGGACATACATATGTATTGGTAATGTCCATGGGATGTTGTAACATTTTCAAACACTACACTTGTCAAATCAAAAACTGAAAACATATAGATCCTCCCAACTGGTCCATAATATCTGCAATGTAAGGCAATACATATGCGTCACCAATGATATTTTTATTAAGTTCTTGGAAATTAATTACTACTCTGCATCTTGGATTTCCAAGGCTGTCCGGTTTATTGAAACAATCCAAAAAGGTGAATTATACAGTAATGACGAAGGCTCAATCATTCTGTCATTAAGTTTTTTTGCTACGTGTTCTTCTAAAACTTTTCTATGTACCGTTTGGTGATTATATTGTTAAGTGTTAATAGGGGTATTATTTTCGATCGGGATTTCATGTGTAACGAGATTAGTAAAGCGTCTCCCGGTAACGAGAAGGTTTCTGGAAATTCGGAAATCAGTCGATAAATTCGGTCCCGTTCTTCTAGGTTTAAGTGATGGGTACGCACAAGTCTTTTTAGATCTCTTATTCTATCTTGTGTATTTTTGATAACTGGTCTCTCACATTCGCTACTAGTATTGGGATCAAATTCAGGTGCAATGTATTCGAAGGGTAGAATTTCTCTTGGACCTATTTCAATCGTGACATCATCCTTTTTATAAGTGTTGATTGCCATAATATTATATTGACCGTTCTTATTTCTGACTATCCCCTCTCCTAGATACACATTCTCATGTCCTACGGCTCGTGGTAAATATCCTTCAGTTAAATTCGTAGTAGTTAAGTTAATTAACTATTTGAGAAGACTATTTGATGTGTTCGAGCCTTAATCGTATATTTAGTTAATTTATTAGTATTTTTCAGAACGAAGTTCTTTATGTCGCATACTGGGGGGCTGGAATTTTAAAACCAACAGATTTGATGAAACGGAAGTGGTTTACTGGAAGTCACTTCCTCTTAAGTTTCCCCCCTTACCCCGTCGCCCTCACCTTCAGTTCCCTACACACTTCCCCTCACCACACCATATTTCTTCCGACTCTGCCGCCCTACTCTCCTGTACACCTTTGCCCACCATTCCCCTTCACACTCCCAAGCGATTGATTTTTTAACAAATTTTAATTTTCTTTTCCCACAATCATTTTTCACTTTAAATTTTTTTTCTTCTGCAATTCTTTCTAATAAGGAGATTTGAACCCTCGACCTCCTGCTTACGAGTCAAGGCACCTTACCCACTCTGCTGCGAGCGCTGCCGTTTATGGAAATTCGATTTCTTGTACTTATGGTGTGTTTCGTAACTTATTTTTCAATTTCATATGCATTCACTGATTATACATTCAATTAATATTAAATTATTAATTTGTTTTCTAAATAATAAATTTAAAAAAACAAAAAATTT